GCATGCAAAAGGACAAATAAACACACAATAAAAAATGAATAAATGAATGAAAAATAATATTTCTCTTAGTCTGTATTCTATTGCTGTGAAGAGACACCATGACCATGGCAACTCCCATAATAAAATTGGGGCTTGTTTCCAGTTTCAGAGGTTTAGTCTGTTATTGTTATGGTAGGAAGCATGGCAGAGAACAGGCGGATATGGTACTGGAGAAGTAGCTGAGAGTTGTACATCTGGATCCACAAGCAACAGAAAGAGAGAGCTACTGGGCCTGACTTGGGCTTTTAAAACCTCAAAGCCTACCCCCAGTGACACACTCCCTCCAACAAGGCCACACCTCTAATCCTTCTCAAGTAATGCCACTCCCTAATAACTAAGCATTCAAATAGATGAGCCTATGGGAGCCATTCTTATTCAAACCACTACATACTTAAATGCAAGGCTTTCTTGTTTGTTTTGTGTTTTGTTTTCGCAGAAAAGGAGGAACTAGAAGAGAGATATGTTTATCTCTCAGATTTGGAATATGAAGCCCAAGGTTTTGGACCCATTTGGTCAGCATCTGGTAAGAACTTTCCTCTCAGCTGCTTCTGGGAAGTTTCTGAAGGGTCACACAGAGGAGAGACCACACAGAGAGAAGGGAATCAAGAGTGAGATGAGACAAATTCAGTCCTTCAATAACCCACTCATGAGGTGGAGCCCTATGACCTATTTAGCTTTCACCAGGCTCCACCTCTTAAAGGTACCACCAGTTTCACACAGTTCTACTAGGGACCAAGCTTCTAGCATGAGTGTGGGGGACTGCACACATCTGAACCACAGCAGGTGGACCTCCAGTCCTCTAAGTCACCAGACCCAGAGCTTTTACCAACTGTGCAACCGCTGCATAGCACAAGCACTCTTGTTCGGCTGCCGCGTAATTTCCCTAGCAAGAAAGCTTGGACCATGCAGAGCAGCTCCAGGACAGGCAGATTTTCCATGTGGGTCCCAGGAGAGAATGTTCCGGCAAGCCAAGAGAAGCTACATACTCATGTGCAAAACTCTTAGCATCACTTCTGCATGACCTGTTAACTGAAGTAGTCAGAAGGCCTGTGGAGAGTCTAGAGGAGGAGGCAGAGGGCTGTGGTGGGGCACTCCTGTGATCTCAGCACTTGGGAGGTGGGAACAGAAGGGTCAGGATTTCAAAGTCATGCTCAGCTATATAGCAGGTCTGAGGCAAAGGCAAAGAGAGAGATTCCCCGTTCTTTATTTTATTTTATTTTATTTTATTTTATTTTATTTTATTTTATTTGTGCAGCCCTGACTATCCTGGAACTCATTTTGTAGACCAGGCTGGCCTTGAACTCAGAAATCCACCTGCCTCTGCCTCCACAGTGCTGGGATTAAAGGCATGCACCACTATGGCCCCAGCTCTTTCTTTTTTAAACAGGGCTCCACTATGCCCAGACTTCATTTCTTAATAAAAGAATACATAAGAATTTGTACCTAGGTTTTAGAATCAACGCAGGCCTATCTGGGGCAATTTGTTGTTTTGAGAGACGTATTCATTCATTTTATTCCTTCATTCATGTTTTGAGATAGGGTCTCGTGTATTCCAGGCTGGCCCCAAGCTCTCTATGTAGGCAAAGACAGCCTTGAACTTCTGATCCTCCTGTCTCCCACTCCTGGGTGCTGGGATTGTAGACATGTACCACCACACCCGGTTTGTGGATGCTGGATATCAATCCCGGAGTTTCATGCATATTGGACAAACATTCCATACACTAGGCTGCATCCTCAGTCTCCATTCTATCGTATGCTGAATCACTTGGAGTCACACGGAATCACACATGCTTCTGTGGTCATACATAGAGAAAAAGCCTGTCACCTGGGAGCTGTCTGAGATAGGTGATCCCATAATGACTCATGGTCAGTTCTCCACATGGTTAGCTCAAACTTCTTCATAAGACTGATTGGAACTAATTTCCAAGAAAGCAATTGCCAACACAAACGCAGTGTTTAGGCATCTGTCTTCATCACGCATGCTAATGGCCAATTGGCCAAAGCTTGTCACATGGCCACACCCAGAACTGGCACAAATACTGGAGACTTGATTTATGTGGGCCACTGATGAGGCAATCCATCACCCATGAGCAACTCTGATTCACCTTTGAAGACTCAGTGCCCATCTCTGCTCTGACCTATTCAGGAGAAAGGAACGAGTAACTCTGAGGAAGCAGGGCTCCAAACACAGCAGGACTGAGCACATTTATATTCAGGAAGACTACAGCAGGATGCACAGGTTCACGAGAGACAGGGATCAGGAAGTCGACAGGTGCTCCCACCCCTAACCAAGAAGCTGTCTGCGGCTGACACCACTTACAAAGGAAAAATTTGTTCTCTCCAATGGAGTCTCACGGGGTCTGTCAACCACAGTCAGGGTAGCCCCATGCCTAGCAGTAGATGGCCAATTCAATACAAATTTAATGGTGTCTTTATAGATTCTAATTGCTTCGGGCAATTTTTTTTTGTCTTACTGGTCTTTTGCTTGTATATTTCAGTTTCCATTTTTGTAGGGATTTGTGTGGGGCAGTGAATGGGCTTCTTGGTCTTTGTATTTTTGGTCTATTTGTTTTGCTTGTTTGTGTTTTTAAGAGAGAAAGAGCATGGAGTTGGGTGGGTGTAGAAGGTGAGGAAGACCTGGGATGAGAAAAGATGATTATAATAGATTTTTATGGCAGTGCATTCTAGGTTGGCGCAGCCATGGCGGCTCGTGTCCTTTCTGTCTGTGTCCGCCGCCTGCCCGCGGACTTTGCGCCTCTGTCCTGGCTTCCCACACGCCTTGGCCCGGCCACTCAACACTACTGTCTACCTTGAGGAAACCCGGAGGAGGACCAGAACTCTGCAGCACCCCCTGGCCCTCACGCAGGTTACACACTTGTGCCTCCAGTACAGTGGCGTACCTCCTTTGATGTTAGAGGGAATTAAGGACCGAGTGCTGTGTGTCTTGAAACTCTATGGCAAGATTGACCCAGAAAAACTCTCAGTAAATTCTCATTTTATGAAGGACCTGGGCTTAGACAGTTTGGACCAAGTGGAGATTATTATGACCATGGAAGACGAACTTGGATTTGAAATTCCTGATATAGATGCAGAGAAGTTAATGCGTCCACAAGAAATTGTAGGTTATATTGAGGATAAGAAGGATGTGTATGAATAAAATTTCAGAACCTTCTTCCTCATTGGGAGGACTCCGAGAACGCCCGATTGCATCATGGCTGACTGACAGAGGTTCTGTTGGACTTGTATTTAAATTGTCTGAGTGTTTTACCCTTTAAAAATAAATCTATTACAAAACTAAAAAAAAGAAAAAAGAAAGAATATATATTTTTTCTTGTAAGGGTGCTTTGCCTGCATGTATATCTGTACCACATGTGTGCAGTGCACTCAGAGTTCAGACCCTCTGAACTGACTTAGAGACAGTTGTGAGCTGCCATGTGGGTGATGGGTCTCCAGGTCCTCCAGAGGAGCAACCAATGCTCTTTACTGTGGAGCCATGTCTCCAGTCCCTACGTTAGTCATTTTTAAGTGCATATTTCAGAGACTTTCAGGATATTTCACACTGTTATGCAACCATTCTCTCCATCATCAGCAGAATTTTTTTATCTTCTCAAACTGAAACCCTGTATTCCTTAAGCAGTATTGTTTATTGATATTTATTGAGCTTTACATTTTTTTCTGCTCCCCTTCCTGCCTCTCCCCTCCCCACTTCAGCCCTCCCCCAAGGTCCCCATGCTCCCAATTTACTCAGAAGATCTTGTCTTTTTCTACTTTCTACTTCCAATGTAGATTAGATCTATGTAAGTCTCTCTTAGTGTCCTCATTGTTGTCTAAGTTCTCTGGGAGAAAGAATATATTTTTATGAAAAATATTTCAAAAGAAAGACATATAGCTCTAATCCCAGCCCTCGGGATACTAAGGCAGCAGGATCATGAGTTCTAGGCCAGCCTAGGTACTTTCTCCTCTCAACTCCTTTCAATTTCTGACTTGTCTCCTAAAAAATAAATAATTTATTTTGGTCATCCTAACAAGCATATACCTACTTAGGAAACCAACCCAACCTGAAATTAGGACAGGCAGCAGCAAGTACAACATTGATTCCAGGATTCTTTGAATTTCATAGGTAAGTCATGTTTCTAAACAAATTTAAAAATAAACAGAGCTGGGCAGTGGTTGTGTATGCCTTTAATTCCAGCACTCAGGAGGAAGAGGCAGGCAGAGCTCTGTGAGTTCGAGAACTGTCTACAGAGAGAGTTCTAAGACAGTCACCAAAGAGACACAGAAAACCCTATCTCCAAAACCAAAACAAAACAAAACAAAAAATGAAAACAAACAAAAAAAAAACAGAAAAGGCTGAGTGTGGAAATGCACGCCTTTAATCCCAGCACTTGGAAGGCAGAGGCAAGCAGATCTCTATGAGTTCAAGGTCAGCCTGGTCTACAAGAGCTAGTTCCAAGACAGCCAGGTCTACACAGAGAAACCCTGTCTCAAAAATAATAATAATAAAATAAAATAAAACAAAAACCAGAACAGACAGAACCAGTGCAAACTGGAAGGCAAGAAATGAATCACAGAATTGTCATCTGACCTCCACATGCATGTCATGGCACATGCGATCCAACACGTGTGCACACATGTGCGTGCACACTCACACACACACGCACAATAATGATAAAGATGATGATAATTAATTTTTATTGAATGTTTAAAAATCAACAGAAAAAGACTGTTCCCCCCTCCCCCAGTTTTCTTTTGCCTCATAAGAACTTTAAAAATACACAGGAAATCCGCCATGAGCACTTTACAAAAACATGGGAAGCCATACTCTAGAGATGCAAGTGTAGAAGAGGCAGGTGTGTGGCCTTAGACTGGCCCAAACTTGGAGCTGGGTACCATGTGCTGTCTTGACATCTGATCAAATCTGCAGGGTTTCAAGTGTCCCAGCATCTTACTGAATCAGAGGGCTGCTCCACTCCACGCAAGCTGATAATGTCCTCGGCCAGACAGCCCTCCTTCTGAGGACCAGGCTCACGTCTTGCTTCTCCCTGAGCAAAGGCTTCAGTTTTCGGGAGACTACAAGCATGAATCAGTCTGTCCAGTTCACCGTCCTGCAGGGAACCCGGCATCACATCTCTCTGGCCCGCCAAGCCTGCCTCCCAGAGATCCAGGTTGGTTGGGTTCAGGATGCAAGCCCCTTCTGGCAATTCTTTGGATAGTACTGTTCTCTGGATTGTGAGTATATGAGGCCCATAAATCCTATCAACTCAATTAGCCCTGGGATAGGTACCTTTCCTACATCAACTAAGTGAAGGGTGGAGGCTTCAAACATGGTGGCAATCTGGCAGTGATGGTCAAATATCCCCACACCATCTCCCCCATGGCACAATGAAATCATTCTAGAAAAGTCTTGACAGTCCAGGCTCAAAGTACCGGAGCCCTGTGGAGTCAGTCTGGAGACCTAGTCGCTCCTCCATCCCAAACCTGGCTCCCCTGCAGAGTAACTGGCGAACTTTTGACAAGTCATTTCCTTTCTCGGTCTTCAGGTCCAGGCTGTAAAATGAGGGGCAGTTCTGTGACCCCTCTGATGTTCCCAACACTCTGACAGCATCTACAAAAACCATCCAATGCGATTAGATTTATATGGCTATAAAGGGTAAATGTCCCTAGGTTATTTTGATCTTGAGGAGTTTGTCACCCACGTGTCTCAAGCTGGAGGGGCTACAGGAGACAATGAAAGAGGGGCCGGGGTGACCAAGAAAAGACTCTCTTACCTGACTCAGTTCCTTCCAGCTTTGACTTCTCACTTGGCAGAAATGGGAGTTTTCTGTCTCCTCCCTTTCCCCATACATGGTCTCTCCCCAGATCCTGGATTGTCTTCTTCCGACCTTTGATTCCATCCAACTGGAGATGACGCTCCAGCAGACTCAAAGCAGCAAGCTCTCAATAGGCCATGCTCCCCTCCCTTTCCTGAAGGCAGAGTGCCTGGGGACCCAGAAAGTAGGCCAGGTCCTGGAAACTTCACAAAGTAGCACAGACAGGCCTCAGAAGGACCTGCAGAGTAGCATCCAGGGCCTCAGGCAGCCTGAGCCCTGCAGCTAACAGCCCTCTGACCCATGTTCTGCTCCAGAATAAAGGAACCAAGCAGCTTCAGACCTAAGCTGTGGGAGAAGGAAGTCCTGAACTAAAGCAATTGGGCTCAGATAGAAAAGATCCCTGAGCCGGACAGGAACCCACTACAGTCCAGGGACGGAACGGAGCATGTGTGGAATGAGACAGGAAGGAAGCTACAAGAATGAGAAAGAATGCAAGGGGGTGAGAAGCTGAGGCCAGGACACCCAGATTCTGAGAAGTTCCCCTTTGAACAGTAAAGCTGGGTGTGTTCATCTGCAAGAGGGGTGGTCCTCCAAGGGGACGCTGTTCCTTAACCCCTAAGCCCTGGGGTGCTTTACCAAAAGCACCCCAGGAGTTCAGTGGCTTACCGGAGGAATAGCCCACTCCTGTTAGAATGTCCTATCATCTCAGGCACTGAGGAAGGAGAATGAAATTGCATCTGCAGGCCCAGGGATGGCTTCCAGCAGGGCCATTACTGTATTGAACCTGCAGTGCCGGTGCCAGGGCTGACTTCTATGTGGAAACAGGAGGATGAGCAGGCAGATGGCTGAGACCTAGGGCTAGCCCACAAGACTTCCCAACCAGAATTCAGAGACCAGGAGGTTCAAGTTAGACCAGCCTTTTAAAAATATAAATATAGGGACAAGCAAGATGGCTCGGTGAGTAACAAGCCTGAGTCAACAAGCCTGGGTTCAGTCCTCATGAACTATGTGGTAGGAGGACCCAACTCTGGAAATCTGGCCTCTGGCCTCCAAATAGGTGCACTTGGCCATGTGCTTGTACAAGACACACACACACACACACACACACACAATGTGTGTAAACAATTTTAAGTTTCATTTAAAATAATGATAAATATTAACAAATAAATCATTAGCACTAGGTCTTTAAAAAGAACCTCTTAGTGACATCACAAAGTGGATGGGGGAGAAGAGGTACCCCTGAGGATGAGAAACTGGGACTGGGCCTTTCCAGTTATCGCATAGCCTCCCCCCTCCATTCTGAGAGTTCTCCCTTTTCTCTTCCACTAGCTGAAGGGCGCGAAGTGGAGTGGCTCAGCAATGAGGCTTTGGTTTCCAAGATCCTGCGATTGGTCTGCTGGACTACTCACCAACCCCGAAGTAACAAGGTGTGGGATAGGCCGAGTCTGTGGTGATTGGAGTGGGGATGGAATGTGACCATGGACGTAATGAGCAGGACACAAAGCTTGTGAGAAGGCAACACTCCTCGCCTTGTTTGAAGACCCAATGGGACCATCTTGTACTCATGGAAGTGAGAACATTCTAGCTGGCTGGGCCAGGAAGGGTCAGCTCAGGAATAGTGTCAGGAGCAGAAAGCACTCTCCCTGCAGCCAAATGCTCTGAGTACCCGGAGGTGGGCAGGCCTGAGCAGCAGAGAGAGGGGCCAGGCGGGTGCACCTCTTGACTTGCTTCCGAAAGGCTGCTTTAGCATGGAATGCAACCAACCAATTTCCTTTGCAGAATTCCAGGCTCCAAAGCCAGCACTTGTCCCTGGAGGCTCCAGCCTGGAGGGAAAGGAGGGGGGAGCTAGCAGGCCTCCCCACAGCACTCTCCCCTTCCATTGTCCAGACTTCTGAAGGCTCTAGCAGAGAAAGGGTTACAGCCTTAAAAGCAGAGCAAGCGCTCCGGGTATGAGAAGGAGGCTGCCCCATCCTGATTCCGAGGGTCCCAAACTGTCTTTTCGCTGAGCAGGCCAGTCGGCCACATGACTGAGGGTACCCCTTCAGTAACAGTCAGCCACCTTCCCACACCCAGGCGCGCCCTCACCAGACACCCCACCCCCTCCATCCTTTTTTTCCCTCAGCCTCTGATTGGTTGAACCCCGAGGCCCTCCCCGCTCCCCCTCTCCCCCACCCCTGGTGAAAACTGCGGGCTTCGCGCAGGGTGCAGCAACTGGAGGCGGTGGTGCATCTGGAGGAGGCTGCAGCTACCAGAGTCCAGGTGAGAGCAGGAGCCAGGAGGAAGCCGCGCACAGAGGGACAGTCACAGAGCCGGGGTGTAAGCCCTTCCTTCCAGCTGCAGCTTTGGAAAAGGATACGAGGGCGCTCCTTAATGGGGGCGCGGTAACTGGGGAAGGGACTTGCATCCCAGACTGGGAGGGAGAGAGAGTCTGTGCAGGGTCGCAGGCTTTTGCTGGCGGGCGCTGTCAGAAACTGGGTACCAGAGGAGAACCGTGAGGAAGGGGACACCGGGGAAAACCTTTGGTTCTGCCTTCCACCCAGAGGTCCCCACGTTCAGATCGCTAGGGAAAGGGTGTAGTGCCGCTAGAAGGAAGAGGCAGGTGGCAAACTGGAGGGAGTCTCCGCCGGGTGACCTCGCGGCTCGCTGGGTGCGGGGCACCTCAGGTAAGGAAACCGCAGTGCTGCAGAAGGGGACTGGGTGGCAGGCGCGGGGGAGGGAAGAACTAGAAAGGATGCTAACGGGGTGGGGGGGATGGGGAACCTCAATTGGTAGAGGAGAATTGAAATACGGAAATGGCATCAAGGTGGTGTAAGCCGGGCGTGGCCTCAGGGAGAGACCGCAGAGTTTGGCTTGGTGTGGGCTTCTGAGACTGGGGCACCAGGACACAAACTGCCTCCGTCGGGGCACTCTACCTCTTCATCTGGTTCTGCCAGGCTTCTCAAGCCACAGCTCCATTTCTTTCCTCTAGGGTTCCTTTTTCCTCCCCGAGAATCCCAAACCCACACTCCCTCCTCCAAAACCCAGTGTTCTTAAATCCAAGCCCTAAGCGGGCTTGGGCGTGGTGGGTTAGCCTTTAATCTCAGCCCTCGGGGGATGGGGGCTGCAGAATGGAGAGTTCAAGATCAACTTGGTCTTACCTCGCGAGTTCCAAGCTCACCAGGGTTACTTAAGGAAACCTTGTCTCTAAAATAAATAACAGCCCCCCTTCTCTGCCACAAAGTCTTGGGATCCGGCGCCCCAAGCTGAGATAACATTCACTGTCGCAGCCCATCCTGGGGACCCCATTCTCTTCCCCCATGGACCTTGGACTGCGAGAGTGGCAGAGTGGTGGTGCGCCCTGCGCAAAGGCTGTGTGGCCTAGGTGGAGCTCGAGAACACTCTCTTGAGCAAGGACAGGCTGCTCAGTGTTGCCAATGTGCTGAGCAGGGGGCGCTTGACTGCAGGGTAGGGACTAAGTCGGGGGTGGGGGGGTAGAACTGGTGATGGCAGAAAACCTATGTCGGGAAGCTATGAACACTGGACTAGAAAACTGCATCCCCCAGAATCCTCGAGAGCTGGCCATTTGCAAGCGTCTCTGGCTTATGTACAACCAGAGCGCTAAGGCTTCTCATTCGTATCCTGTGTCCTGTACAGACCTCTATGGTACCTTAGCTAGACACATGCCTGACCTCATCCCTAGTCGATCTGGATCACTTACTGTGGAGCATAACGCCTGATGCTTATCTTTTATTTTTTTTGGGGGGGGGGGGGGCGAGACAAAAAGGTTTCTCTGTAGCTTTGGAGCCTGTCCTGGAACTAACTCTTGTAGACCAGGCTGACCTAGAACTCACACACAGAGATGCACCTGCCTCTGTGTCCCAAGTGCTGGGATTAAAGGTGTACACCACCACCGCCCAGTGCTTACCATTTTCTTAAACCCCATCACAAATTCCTTTTTTCCCCCCCAAGATAAGGTTTCTCTGTGTAACAGCCCTGGCTGTCCTGGAACCAGCTCTATAGATCAGGCTGACCGCCTCCAACTCACAGAGATCAGCCTGCCTCTGCCTCCCAAGTGCTGGGATTAAAGGCGTGCACCACCACATCTGGTCACAATCCTAATCTTACGTAAGGTTCAAAGAGCCTCATTTATCCAGTAAATATCTTTTATCCAGCTCTCAGGACACAGTTTGAGGACACCCTAAACTACATTGGGAGATCCAGTCTCGATAAAATAATAATAGGCCAGGTGGCGGTACGTACCTATAATCCCAGCACTCGGGAGACTGGAGCAGTTTGGTGAGTTTGAGGCCAGCCCAAGCTACATAGTGAGACCCTATAAAATAATAACAAATAAATAAACATAAATAAGCAAATATATTTGAGTATCTATTATATGCTAGGACTGATCTGGGCATTAGGTATCTTCTTCTCAACTAGTCCCTAAGGAGGGAGTATTTTTGTTCAATGAGTATGAAAGTGTTCATTTGGAAAGACTGAATGAGTTCTGGAGAGCGGCTGCACAATGGCATGACCAAGCCTGACCCTCCTGATCCTTGCACTTGGGCCCGAATTAAGACAGTAAATGTTATGTGTAGTTTACCAGATCAAAATCATAAATATAGCCAATGCTTACCCAGAGGGGTCTTAAATCCCAGAAAAGTGATGAAGTCGCCCAGCAGGGAAGTTCTCCAGGGACCGTGCAGACACACACAGCATCCCAGGATGTGTATTTCCTCCTCCTTTGCTTTCTCTGAGTGGCAGAGAGCCCCAGGCAATGTCACCTTCAAAGAGAAGGGGTGAAGGAGGGGCTTGGGTGTCCATCACATTCTGCATGGGCTGTACATCCTGACAGTGAATGTGGGCCCACTTGTCCCACCTCTTGGCTGATACCCAGCTTTCCCCCCACTCCAGAATCCAGGACAGAACCCTTGGCACCATGAACTCAGTCATTGGCATCGCTCTCCTGCTTTCAGGTACTGGGCAAGGGGCAGGGCTGGCATTCCAGGGCATCTGGCTTTCTTCCCTTGGGGAAGTAGTCTCTTTGTCAGAGACGCAGAAGCTTGGAGGGCTTTTGATCACTGATCTGCCTGTTGGTGGTCTTCGGCAAATTGGAAACTCCATACAGGAACGAAAAGCTCCCCTTGATCTCCTGTTCTTGAAACATTCACTGATGGGACTTAAGGGTTGAGTAGACTAGAGATGGAAGTTGGAGTCTGGGGGGTTGTTGTGATATCCTACCAGTAGCCCAGGGGTGAGTGCGAACCCCACATCCTCCCCAGCCAGGCCCCAGCATACTCTTCCTGCAAGTGGGAGGCCCCTGCTCTGTGTCTCCCCCAATTCAGAGAAGGCACTGCTGTGCCAGTCTTGCAGATGTCCAGAGGACAAAAGGTGACCAGCCTGACGGCCTGCCTGGTGGACCAGAACCTTCGCCTGGACTGCCGGTATGAGAATAAGACCAACTCGCCCATCCAGCACGAGTTCAGCCTGACCCGAGAGAAAAAGAAGCACGTTCTCGCCGGCACTCTCGGGGTACCAGAGCACACGTACCGGGCCCGGACCAGCGTCACTGGCAGCACCAACATCAAGGTCCTCACCTTAGCCAACTTCACCACCAAGGATGAGGGCACCTACGCATGTGAGCTGCGAGTCTCTGGCCAGTCTCCCACAACCTTCTCTCAAAATGTCTCTGTGCTCAGAGGTAAGACTGGTTCCCAGAAAGATGAAATGGCCAGGTTAGCCGTGCTGGGGCTAATTAATCTGCCTACAAAAAAAGCAACCAGCAGCTCCATTCATTGGGCTGGAGAGGAGAGGGACCCTATAGCGTTCTCATATTCCCCAACTGCTGCCTGATCCCTAGGAACTGCTGCCCTCTGTGCGAGTGGGGACGGATCAGGGGCCGGATAGGTAGAGCTTGGAGTAGAGGCTAAATAGTGAAGAGCCAAGGAAGGACGGTGGGAAGGACAGAGGTGATTCTGTTACACCTTCAGGTAGAGCCAGCTAAGACATCAAGGCACCAGCTGCCTTAAAGGGACAGCACCTGGCATTGTCTTTGCTGCCCTTCCTCCGCTTACCTCCTTCTCTCTCCACAGACAAGCTGGTGAAGTGTGGTGGCATAAGCCTGCTGGTTCAGAACACCTCCTGGTTGCTGCTGCTCCTAATCTCCCTCTCTCTCTTCCAAGCCATGGATTTCATTTCTCTGTGACTGGTTGGGTCCACAGAGAAATAAGAAGCCTCAAGGCCCAGTACAGAGGTCCTGCTTCTCTGGGTCAGCTGACTCCCTTCCTCAGTCCCTCAGTCTCTTGGAGAGAAACAGGGACCCTGTCCCTCCTAAGGAACCCCAGTGCTGCATGCCATCCACCACCCCGCTCTGACACTTTACCCTCTCCACTCACCGCTGGCTGCCATTTTATACTCTTCATTCCGGGGCTGCTTTTGTTTATTTTGAGTTTCTTCTTTCTTTTTTCTGGGAGTTTGTGACGAGGGAGGCCAGGATTAGGGACCTAATGGAGCATAAGGGTGGATGATGGATATTGGGGTGGCAGGATACCAGTCCCTGTGGGGAGTTCCTCCTTGCCAACCAGGCCAGATGCCTGAAAGAGACATGAAGACGGAGTTGGAGTGTGTCTGTGCCTGGTACAGTCATACTCTTGATGAAAGTATTGCGAACGGGCAGGGAGGGGGCCTCAAGATCTCAGGATATCAGCATGCTGCTCAGCCTTTGTGGCCCATCCAATGAGGATGAGAGCCGAGATTCTACAAGATCATTCTAGCTGCCACATACATGCCCCCTCCTATCACTGAAGAAGTCCCCTGGGGGCTCTTGAGCCAGGGCACATTCAGTAAAGATGCAGGTTCTGCCAGAGAATGTTGGGGAGAGGGGAGGGGGAAGAGGTGAGGGAACATCACCCCTCCTGTCTCTAGCTGCCACTGCCTGGAGTGACAGGGCTGGCAGAGGAAGGCCAGCTCCTCCCCAGCTCCCAAGGAGCCAGAACTCTGACTGCAGGACCTAAGTCAGTGCAGGAAGGGGGCCCTAGAGCCATCCAGCTGGACCCGGTTTGCTAAAGGAGACCCTTGGCTCTTCTTTCCCTTGCCCCTCTGTGCCAGCCCCTCTGGCTGTCCCTGATCCCCCAGACAACCAGAGT